ACCTCTCTGGTGTAGGATGTTGACAGTGGGGGAGGTCATACATGTGTGGGAGCAGGGATTATATGAGAACTATGTAAATTTTTTCCCAGTGTATTCTGAGACCTGTATTAGCTTGATAGAAAAATCAAACACATGTAAAGAAAACTATATCAGTGTCTCCTGTGGATATAGATATATAAATCCTCAAAAAATACTAACAAACCAAATCTAGCAACATATGTAAGGATTATACACCATATACAAATAAGATTTATTTTAGGAATGCAAGGTTGTCACTATCAGAATCACTTTTTTTTTTTAGATTTATTTATTGAGAGAGAAAGCACATGGGGGCAGAGAGGGACAGAGGGAGAAGAGAGAGAATCTCAAACAGACTCCCTACTGAGCCCAGACCCCAACATAAGGCTTGGTCTCACGACCCTGAGATTGTGACCTGAGCTGAAATAGTTGGTTGCTTAACTGACTGAGCCACCCAGGTGCCCCCCATCAGTGTTCTTTTAAACACCATATTATTTTTTTAAATATTTATTCATGAGAGACAGAGAGAGGCAGAGACACAGGCAGAGGGAGAAGCAGGCTCCCTGCAGGGAGCCAGATATGGGATTCAATCTCAGGACCCCAGGATTACGCCGTGAGGCAAAGGTGGACGCTCAACACTGAGCCACCCAGGTGTCCCTAAACACCATATTGATAGAATAAGAGACAAAAACCATATGATTATCCCACTAGACACTGGACAGAAAAGCATTTGACAAAGTACAACACCCTTTATGTTTTTTTTTTAAAAAAAGATTCTTAAAGTAGAAGGGAATCCCCTCAGTGTGATTCAGATTATGTAGGAAAACCCCACAGTCCAAATCAGTACCATGTAGTGAAAGATTGAATGCTTTTCCCTTACAGTCAGGAGTAAGACAATAATGTCTGCTCTTACCACCAATACTCAAGCTTGTATTTAGGTAAGAAAAGGAAATAAAGAGCATCTTATTAGAATGTTGAAGATTGGAAATGAAGAAGTAAAAATCTCCGTTTGCCGATGACATGAACTTTGATGGAGAAAATCCTAAGGAATCCACTGAAAAACTACTAGAACTAAAAATTCTGCAGGGTTACAAGTGTACAATATCATCATATTAAAATCAATTGTATTTCTCTGCACTAGCAATGAACAAATTGAATATGACACAATTTCATTTATAGTATCAGAATATAATTCTTAGGAATACTTTTTTTAAAGCAAAATTTGTACTCTAAACACTATAAAACATTGTTGAAAGCAATTTAAGAAGTTTTAAATAAACTGAAGGGCATTACATGTTCATAAATCATAAAACTTAATATTGTCACGGTGGTGATTTCCAAATTAATCTGCATACTCAACAAGTCCTTATTCAAAAGCCCAACTAGTGTTTTTGCAAAATAGACCATCTGATTCTAAAATTAATGTGGAAATTCAAAGGACCCAGAGTAACCAGGAGTCCTAGAAGAAGAAATTAGAGAACTCACACTTTCTGATTTCAAAACTTACTACAAAGGTAAAAAGGTATTGTACTATTATAAGGACAGGCATGTAGATGAATAGAATTGAAGGACTGGTATTAAATCCTCATTTTGTGGTCAATTGGTTTTTGACAAGGGTGCCAAGACAATTCAATGGGAATAGAATTAGTTTTTATGACAAATGCTGCTGGGACAATTGGGTTTTTACTTGGCAAAGTATAACGCTGGACCCTTCTTTCATACCACAAACATGAATTCAAAACAGGCCTACATGTAAGGCTAAAACTATACAATTCTGGGCAGCCTGGGTGGCAGTGGTTTACTGCCTGCCTTCAGTCCAGGGTGTGATCCTAGAGACTTAGGATCGAGTCCCTCGTCGGGCTCCCTGCATGGAGCCTGCTTCTCCCTCTGTCTGTGTTTCTGCCTCTCTCTCTCTCTGTGTCTCTCATGAATAAATAAAATTAAAAAAAATAAACTATACAATTCTTAGAAAAATATATGTAAATATTACTTTGGATGAGGTCAAGTTTTTGGAACATTGACAAAAGCACAAGCAACAAAAGAAAAATAGCCAAATTGGAGGTCATTAAAATACACTCTTATGCTTTGAAGGACACTGTCAAGAAAGCTAAATGACAACCCATGGAAGAAATATTTGAGAATCCTAGATCTTTAAGAGGCTTGTATCTAAAAAACATGAAAAAAAAATCCCTTTTACAACTAGTAATGCAACAACTAGTAAAAATTGACAAAGGGTATGAATATATTTTCTGAATCAACATTTCTGTAAAGAAGATATACAAATAGCCAATAAGCACGCTCAATGTCATTAGTCTATAGAGAAAGAAAATTGCAACCACAGTAAAATACTACTTCACACCCACTAGGATGGCTTTATTCACCAAGATAATAAAACGTATTGGCAAGGGTGTGGAGCAATCAGCACTCTCTTTCATTGTTGGTGGGAATGTAAGATGGTTCTGACCACTTCTGAAAACAGTTGGTAATAACACAAGTTGCTGAATGTGTTACCACCTAACCTAATAATTCCAATCCTAGGTATATGTGGGAGAGAAAGGAAAACATATGTCCACACAAACACTTGTAATCAAATGTTCTTGTAGCATTATTCATAATAACCCCAAATTGGAAACAACTCAACATGCCCATCAACTGATGACTGCATAAACAATGTGTATTAATACAATGGACTATTATTCAGCGATAAAAAAGAATGAAATACTGATACACCTAAGAATCATGAATGAACTTTGAGAATGTTATGCTAAGTGAAAGAAGCCATTTATAAAAGATTACATATTGTATGATTATGGGAAATGACAAGAATAAGCAAAATGGCAAAGTAGATTGGGGGTGCCTAGGGCTGGGAGGGGAAGGGAGAATTTGGGAGTGATATTTAAAGAGTATGGGGTTCCTTTTTTGGGGGTGATGAAAATGTTCTAAAGATGATTGTGATGGTTGTACAATTCTGTAAACATAATAAAAACCAGTCAATTTTAGATTTTAAATAGGTGAATTTTATGGTATGTAAATAACATTTCACTAAAGCTATAATAAAGATTTACCTATGCCTCCAGGAAGATGTGTATCACCTGTCCTACTTTAAGTTCAAGACATTCCCTTTACAAAGTTTTCACTGATTAGGGAATCCCTGGGTGGCTCAGCGGTTTGGCGCCTACCTTTGGTCCTGGGTGCGATCCTGGAGTCCCGCGTCGGGCTCCCGGCATGAAGACTGCTTCTCCCTCCTCCTGTGTCTCTGCCTCTCTCCTGTCTCTATGACTATCATAATAAATAAACAAATCTTTAAAAACAAAGTTTTCACTGATTAGCAGTTTATCAGTTGTTCCTATTGTAATCATATGCTTGTAATTTATCTTAGGACTTTTGTCTGTTGTGTTTGCCTGTCATAAGTCATTGCGTGCTTGTGTGTAGAGATTATGTCTAATGTCTGTTACCAATATAAGTGTTATCTTAGTGCAGTAATGATAGATAACTTCTGGAATGCTAATTATTATTTAGTGAGTCTTATTTATTTTTTTTAGTGAGTCTTATTTTTTTTTTTAGTAAGTCTTATTTTTAAGGAACCTATTAACCTATCAAAAAACCCTATTTTTTTATTCAGTGTGATTTAAATGTACAATGGCTATAACATTTTGTGTGGGTTAGAAAACATAATTTACATGGTTTAGTAAAGGATATGCATAAAGTTTTCAAAATCTTGCAAATCTCTGTTGAGTTTATTGGGTTAAATGACATTAACAAAAATATATTTGAGTATGTACTGTAAGTAAATAAATGTGTTGAGCTCTAGTAAGATATAGAAAAGTATTGTAAATACAGCTGTTCTTAATCTTTTTTTTAAAAAAAATATTTATTTGAGAGAGACAGCATGCGTGAACATGAGCAGGGAAAGGGGTAGAGGGAGAAGGAGAAATAGACTCTCCGCTGAGCAGGGAACCTGATGTGGGGCTTGATCCCAGGACCCTGGGATCATGACCTGAGCCAAAGGTAGATGTTTAACCGACTGAGCCATCCTGTTCTTAATAATCTTATGGTCTAATTGGGAGAGTGGTTTCGGAAACAAATGTGAAAGATTAAGGATTTAGACCAATTAAGTACTGGAAAGAATTCTAGGGCTGTCTGGAAGATTGATGTAGGCCAGAGTGATTGAGAAGTCTTTATAGCAGAATGAGACATTCAGATAGGCTTGTTAAAAAAAAAATATTCTTGTTTTTTAGGTATAAAACTCAAAACATGAACAACGATATATATTACCAATGTTCAAAAGTGATTTGGCTAGAACTGGAATACAGTTGCCTACAACATATTCCAGAGGAATTAGAAAAGTCAAAGTAATGGATAACAGAAAAGATCCTCCATTCTTCAATGAAGATAACGTGGGACCGTTTTACTACAAACTTCCTTTCTATGATACCATGGAGCTCTTCATTGAAACATTGACTGGAACATGTTTTGAGCTGAGAGTTTCACCCTTTGAAGCTGTTATTTCTGTGAAAGCAAAAATTCAAAGATTGGAAGGTACTAGTTTTTCTTTGCTTTTAGGGTACGAAGATTACATTTGTTCATCCGGAGTGTGTAATAATTCTAACTTTTCTTATGGATAAAATGTCAAACCTAGATAGAAGTAGGAAGAGTAGAGTAATGCACTCTTTAGACCCCTTCCTCAGCTTCAACAGTTATTAACTCATGAACTGTCATGTTTCTATTTCTGCATTCCTCCCACCCCTTTCTACTTCTACTAGGTTCTTTTGAAGGAAATCTCTGACATTGTGGTAATAGTATGTGAAATTTTAAAATAATTTTTCAACAGGTTATGATGACATGCAAAATCTTCCATAAGTACCTTACAGTTATTTTCAATGGCAAATCATGATTGAGTTCCGTTTTAGTGACCTTCTTTACCTATTTATACTACTTTGCAGATATTTTTATTTTTTTTATTACGTTTGTATGTATTTATTTAAAATATAGAATGCTTCATGAATTTGCTTGTCATCCCTGCATGCAGGGCCAGGTGAATCTTCCCTATATCATTCCAGTTTTAATTTTTAAATTTTTAAAAATTTTTAAATTTTTGTATGTTTTTTTATTGGAGTTCAATTTGCCAACATAGAGTATAACACCCAGTGCTTATCCCACTCATTCCAGTTAGTATACATGCTGCTGAAGCGAGCACTACTTTTCTTTTTTTAATGTGGAGATTTTCTAAGAGTTTTGGCTTACATTTACATATATTTGAACTTTCCTCGGTACAGCAGGAATGCTGAATATTGAACAATATTGAACAAGTTCAGTGTCTTTGTGGCTTACATGTGTGTGAAAGGGGTCATAAATTATTTTGTGTTAAAATTAGAATCTTTTTCTTTGTACTTTACAAATTTCTGAAATAAGTGGTATTTGCCATTATAGTTGTTAGAACCCAGTATGTACTTAAAAATTAAATTGTTCTATATAACACTAAATGGATGTTGCTGTAATTTAGCGGTAATAACGAGCATTGCCCTCTAGTTTAAGTTCAGAGTTGTAGAAGGATGATTAGTGTTGGAATCTTTTGTCTATTAAAGTCGAGAATCCTGGTGTCTGAACTAAATAGTTGCTGTTTCTCTACTAACTATTCTGTGAAGTTAGTGGCCAGCTGAGTCCAGTGGCCATATTAGTACATCGAGTAATGGCACATGAAACATCTTTCCCCCAAGTGATTTGCTGAGACACAGAGGTAGAAGAGGGTATTTTGACATTGTTCTGCTTTTTTATTAATATGATGGTATAATTATATCTTTTTAGGAGCAGGAAGATAAAACCATCTTGTGTTCTAAATAATCTCTCTATTTTTCCCCCTTTCATGCATTTTGAATAATCTTCATGCAGCAAAAACATTTTAGAAAGTATCTTGCTTAGGTATCTTAGTGTCAGAAGATTAAAATTGGCTTACAGAAGATTAGGGACTCATCCTAGGAAAATGTCATTCCCTTTTTTTTTTTTTGTAATTAGAGTTCAATTTGCCAACATATAGCATAACACCCAGTGCTCATCCCATCAAGTGCCCCACTCAGTGCCCGTCACCCAGTCACCCCCCCCCCGCCCACCTCCCTTTCCACCACCCCTTGTTCATTTCCCAGAGTTAGGAGTCTTTATGTTCTGTCTCCCTTTCTGATATTTCCCACACATTTCTTCTCCCTTCCCTTATATTCCCTTTCACTATTATTTATATTCCCCAAATGAATGAGAACATACACTGTTTGTCCTTCTCCGATTGACTTACTTCACTTAGCATAATACCCTCCAGTTCCATCCACGTTGAAGCAAATGGTGGGTATTTGTCGTTTCTAATGGCTGAGTAATATTCCATTGTATACATAAACCACATCTTCTTTATCCATTCATCTTTTGATGGTCTGTCAACATTTCTTTAAGCTTTAAGCTCACTGATTCTTTCCTTGCAATTTCCAGTCTACTAATAAGCAGGCCGATCAGTCTTTTTAAATTTCTGTTATTGTTTTTTACTTCCAACATTTACTTTTAATTCTTTTGTATACTTTCATTCTGTTTTTTCTTTTTCTCTTTTTTTAAATTTTTTTATTGGACTTCAATTTGCCAACATATAGCATAACACCCAGTGCTCATCCCAACAAGTGCCTCCCTCAGTGCCCATCAGACAGTCACCCAAACCCCCCGCACACCTCTCCTTCCACTACGCCTTGTTCATTTCCCAGAGTTAGGTGTCTCTCATGTTTTGTCACCCTCACTGATATTTTCACTCATTTTCTCTCCTTTCCCTTTATTCCCTTTCACTAATTTTTATATTCCCCAAATGAATGAGACCATATAATGTTTGTCCTTCTCCGATTGACTTCTGTTTCACTCAGCATAATATCCTCAATGGACACCGAGGCTCCTTCCACAGTTTGGCTATTGTGGACATTGCTGCTAGAAACATCGGGGTGCAGGTGTCCCGGCGTTTCACTGCATCTGTATCTTTGGGGTCAATCCCCAGCAGTACAATTGCTGGGTCGTAGGGCAGATCTATTTTTAACTCTTTGAGGAACCTCCACACAGTTTTCCAGAGTGGCTGCACCAGTTCACATTCCCACCAACAGTGAAGGAGGGTTCCCCTTTCTCCACATCCTCTCCCACGTTTGTTGTTTCCTGCCTTGTTTATTTTCCCCAATCTCACTGGTGTGAGGTGGTATCTCATTGTGGTTTTGATGTGTATTTCCCTGATGGCAAGTGATGCGGAGCATTTTCTCATGTGCTTGTTGGCCATGTCTATGTCTTCCTCTGTGAAATTTCTGTTCATGTCTTTTGCTCATTTCATGATTGAATTGTTTGTTTCTTTGCTGTTGAGTTGAATAAGTTCTTTATAGATCTTGGATACTAGCCCTTTATCTGATACATCATTTGCAAATATCTTCTCCCATTCTGTAGGTTGTCTTTGAGTTTTGTTGACTGTATCCTTTGCTGTGCAAAAGCTTATCTTGATGAAGTCCCAATAGTTCATTTTTGCTTTTGTTTCCCTTGCCTTTGTGGATGTATCTTGCAAGAAGTTACTGTGGCCGAGTTCAAAAAGGGTGTTGCCTGTGTTCTCTAGGATTTTGATGGAATCTTGTCTCACATGATTAAACTTATTTGTAGGTATTTCATTCCTTTTGATGCAATTGTAAATTGGGTTTTTAAAATTTCTTTTTGGTAGTTCATTATTAGTGTATGGAAACATACATTAGTATTTTGTATTGATCTTGTATCCTGCAACTTTACTGACTTTATTAGTTCTAACGGGTTTTTTTTTTTTGTGGAATTTTTAGTTTTTTAATATATGTCATCTGCAAATAGAAATAGTTATACTTGTTTCATTCTGCATTGGATACCTTTTCATTTTCTTGCCTAATTGCTCTTTCTAGGACTTTCAGTACTATGTTGAATAAAAGTGGCAAGAATGGGTATCTTTATTTTGTTACTCACCTTAGAGGAAAAGCCTTCCATTTTTCCCCATTCAGTATGATGGTTATTGTGAGCTTGTCGTATATGGCCTTTATTATGTTGAGGTATGTTTTCTCTATACCCAGTTTTTTGACAGTTTGTACCATGAATGGATGTTGAATTTTGTTAAATGCTTTCTCTGCATCTGTTGAAATGATCCTATTTTTATCCTTCATTTTTAAAAAAGATTTTATTTATTAGAAAGAGGGAGAGCAAGCATGGGCAGTGCAGATGGAGAGGGACAGGCGACAGGCAGACTTCCAGCTGAGCAGGGAACCCAACTTGGGGCTTGATTACAGGACTCTGGGATCATGACCTGAACTGAAGGCAGATGCTTAACTGCCTGAGCCACCCAGGCACCCTATCCTTAATTTTTTAATGTGGTACATCATATTGATCTGTGGACGTTGAACCATCTTTGGATTTCTGGAATAGTTCATGGTATATGATCCTTTTAATGTTCTATTCTATTCTATTCTATTCTATTCTATTCTATTCTATTCTATTGTTTTATGTGTTTTATTGTTGAATGTAGTTTGCTAATATTTTATGAGGATATTTGCATCTTTGTTTATCAGGAATATTGTCTTGTAATTTTCTTTTTTCGTAGTATCTTTGTCTAGTTTTGGTGTTAGGGTAATGGTGGACTTGTAACATGAGTTATGGAAATGTTCCCTCTTCTCTTTTTGAAAGAATTTGAGAAGGATTGGTATTCGCTGTTCTTTACATGTTTCATAGAATTCACAAGTGAAGCCAGCTGGTCCTGCACTGTTGTTTCTTGGTAGATTTTTGACTGCTGATTTATTTCCTTACTAATTGGTCTGTTTTGAATTTTTTCTTTTTTCATGATTCAGTCTTGGTAGGTTGTGTGTTTATAGGAATTTATTTCTTCTAGGTTTTCCAATTTGTTGGCTTGTAATTATTCATAGTATCTCTAATCTTTTATATTTCTATGGTATCAATTGCAACTTCCCCTTTTTGATTTCTGATTTTATTTATTTGGAGTCCTCTCTTCTTGATGAGTCTGACTAAAGGTTTTCTCATCTCTTAAAAGTAATTGGCTCTTAGTTTCTTTGATCTTTTCTATTGCCCTTTTAGCCTCTATTTCATTTATTTCTGCTCTGGATCTTTGTTATTGCATTGATTCTGCTAACTTTAGGTTTAGTTTATCCTTATTTTTTTCCATATTCCTTGAGTTGTAAAGTTAGGTTGTGTGAAATACCATTGTGTCCTTAATGTGGTTGTTTATTGCTATGAATGTCTCTCTTAGAACTAATTTTGCTGTACCTCCTGAATTTTGGTATGTTGTATTTCCATTTTCATTTGTCTCCAGGTATTATTAATTTTCTTTTTTGATTTGTTCTTTATCTCATTATTTATCAATAGCATGTTGTTTAATCTTTACATATTTGTGAATTTTGCAGTTTTCTTTTTGTAGTTAATTTCTAGTTTTATAACATTATGTTTGGAAAAGAGACTTGATAAGATTTCAGTCTTCTTAAATTTATTAAGACTTATTTTGTGACCTGACATATGATCTATCCTAGAATACATTCTATTTTTACTTGAGAAGAGTGTATATCCTGCTTTTGGATGGAATGTTCTGTAAATGTTAAAGCCAGTTGGTCTAATGTGTCATTTAAATCTAATGTTTCTCTATAGATTTTCTATCTGGATGATTTGTTGGTGAAGGTGGGATATTGAAGTACTCTACTATTATTGTATTGCAGATTCTTTCTATCTTTAGGTCTATTAATATTTGTTTTATGTATTTAGGTGCATAGATATTTATAAATGTAATATCCTCTTGTGGGATTAACACTTTTATCATTCTATAATGACGTTTTTTTGTCTCCTGTTATATAGTCTTTGTCTTGAAGTTCCTTTTGTCTAATATAAGTATAGTTGCTCCCTACTTTTTTTGGTTTCTTTTGGCATGGAATGCTTTTTTCCATCCCTTTCTGTCTGAGTGTGTCCTTAAAGCAGAAGTGAATCTTCTCTAAGCAGAATATAGTTAGGTCTTATGATTATTATTATCATTTGCCCATTCAACCACTCTCTTGATTGGAGAATTTGGTCCATTTACATT